ATTAACTTAAGTCATCCAAAAAGCAGCGCGCTTTATAAAAAAAGATCAAAGTATTTGTTTTTTTTTTTCTGGGAGATATTTGTTAACAATGCCAAGAATAATCTTCAATGTTCTGGAAAAATTCAATCTCAAAAATAAAATTACAGTTATTGCAATAAGGAGATGATAATATTTTTTTATAAATTTGTACGATTAATTGATTGAACTGACCATTCTCAAATGTTCTCTCTCTCTCCCTCTCTCGCTCTCTCTCTCTCTCTCTCTCTCTCTATGTGTTAAACTTTTTAACTTTCACAATGCTATAATTATACTTTTACTCTTTTCATCGCATTTATGCAATTTCCTTCCGAGTCTTTTTCTTTCTCAAATGAAATAAAATTTTTCTTTCAGTGAATTATCGAACTTAAATTCGCTTCAAATTATTTCGGATGATAGTTTTAGGTATTCCGAATTGTTTGTTAATTAATTTTTCATTTTCTCTTATCGTTTAACACCATTTTTATAATTCAGCATAACTAATCCTTCAGTTTTTTTTTTAATTAAGTTGATTAATTATTTTTGAACATATGCAATAATGTGCAACATTTATTTCCATTCATTTTTTTCCTCTTCATTGATAGAATGTGAAAGAAAAAAAAAACTCGTTCAAAATTGACTTCATTCATTTCACTTCCAATAAACTCCAATAAACAATTAACAATATAACAATAAGGTAAGTTAATTAAGAATATTAAAATGATAAGACAAGTTTTGATGAAGTTGTTGGATATAAAAATGATTAATATTATTACCGAAAATGACAATACAATAATGTATGTATTAAATAGAAGAGAAAAGATTGCTGATCTGTGAATGAATTTCAACAAGAAATTAAATTTGATAAAGAGTATCAAAGTATGAGGAAGGTCAAAAAAAAAAGAACTTAGGAAGAACAAGATTATTTTAAAACTGTTGTGTTTTTTTCCTAGTTCTGATGTATGAGATTTCAAAAAATTTGAATCAATCGATTAGCTATTAAAAGTAATTATCTATATTAAGCATTAGACAATTTAATACCTCAAACTTCTTCATCAAATTCAATTTTTCGAATATATTTCAAATGTATAAACAGGAATTCTATAAAAGTTCATAACAATAATCAAAGTTACTGCTGCTAATTTGGTTACAATTATTAAATTACATTAAATTAAATATTTTCACATATGTTAACAATGCTTCCTTAATTTTTAAATTCCATTCCCAGCAACAATATCAAATTGGCAGGATACCTCAATTTTTTGCATATGCTGAATTCATTTGAAATACAACCTAAATAATTTGAAATTTTTTTAAATAATCAAAATTTAATTATGAAAATAAAAATGAGGAGCGAAAGAATTGTATTTTTTGAATATGCCAGTGCGTTAAATTATTGCTAGAAAAAAGTGACCTTGAGGAATTCAAATCTAACTTTACGGAAGATCAAATGGTCATTTTTTGGATGATTCAATATTTGCGTTGAATTTTTTTTCTTCTCCTTCCAATACTAACGTTGTTGATGGCACAATATTCAAAGACTGAAAAACTTGAAAAAATTATTAAGGCATTCCAGTTGATTAGGAAATTTTTGTTTTAATTCCTTAAATGTATAATTCGTCAATAAATTGAACCGCTAAATTTTGCTAAATTTTTACAAATATTTTTTTCATTTTTTTAAATCTAAAATGGATAATTGTACTCATAAATGTTAAAAATTCAATTTTTAATTTCTTCAATATATAATTCCTTGAATTTGAATTCTTTAAATGCACAATTATAAATAAGCTGAATTTTTAACATTTATAAGTTTTAAATTTCAAAAATTAAATTCGTTAAAATTTAGCTATTAATCTCTGTTTA